TTAATTTTGAGTATTTTGCTTGGCTTAAGTGCCTGTAAATGGGAAAACGATAATATATGCTCAAATTTCCTTTAAATAATTGTCATTTTAGCAAAAATTGATCAATGATCATGAGACCCTTCAACAGGTTGATTCTCAATTTCTCATACATTTTGCCTTGCTTCCAATTAATGCTTCTTTTGCCTTTTCCAATTATTCATGGACCTTTACTCTATATGTGAATCATCCTGGATTTTCTTGAAGTCTCCATCTCCACACTTTTTTTATTTTTATTTTTTATTTTTTAATAATATTTTATATTTAAAAGTTATATTAAATTTTGATTAATTTAAAATCAAATTACATTGAATTTTATAAATAAAAAAAAACTCTTTTAACACTTATTTTTTTATTTATAAGACTTAAATTAAAAAATTTATTTTAAAAAATTAATCTCATTTCATTTAAACCAATGAATAGTTGCACCTCCATTTCCACACTTATACTCTTCTTGTTTCAGAAAAATTCTGCGTATTTATTATTGAAAAATATGTCTGTTAGGGCCCAGTCCAATAATCAATTACTTCAATCCAAGTGTAACGGACTGGATTTATGCCCAAGTCAACTGGGTAGGGATGAAAAATTGACACTAACAGTCAAAATTTGGTCCTCAAACGCCAAACATAAAAATCCCCACTTCTCTCCAACCTCCGACGACAAAAGCAACCCTTTTCCCATGGTCCAATCCCACCGAAGTCTCAACCTTCTTTCTTGGGTGTCCTTAATCGCAGTGGGCTTTTCGGTTGAAGAAGAATTAAGGGTTCTTTCCAGCCTTCGGATTGATATTTAGGGATTTGATGTTTTTAATAAGAAATTAGATTTTCTTTTTGAACCTTTCTCGTCACTGGAATTAGATAGTTCGATGGGGGAAATATTAGGGTGTAATCACTTGATGTCCCATAGATGGTCTCGGACGGAAAATCCACCCCAAAAATCCACCATTCTCCTGTTCTTCGAGACCCATAAGCCCCTCAATCCCCGTCCTCGTTCTCTCCAACGTGTGAATTCTTCTATTTCTCGACGCTTTTTTTTTTTCTTTTTTCTTTTTTTTTTTTGGAATTGGATTTTGTATTGTTTTGCAGCACCCAGATCTAATGGAAAGTGGGTTAATCGTGGAGGCGGCAGGATCTGAATGTATTGTCCCTGGGCAGATTACAAACTCTGGAGATAATATGTCTTGAGGATAATCCACTAGTCTCTACCATTTGGTACAGAAGTCGAAATTCAGTTATCAGGGTTGGTAGTGGATAATGAAGCTAATAATTTTAATTAATAATTGTTTAGTTATATAGTAATTCCGGTTAATGTTTAGTATTTTTTTAGTATTAAATGATAAATAAAGATAAAATAAAAAGTAGTTAATTGTGCTCATCCCTTAACTCTAAAAGAATTTATTATTATTATTTTGTCTAATCATAACTTTTATGACACATAGACATAAATTAATAATATAATAAATATATATTTTAATTAATTTATATAAAAATGATAAAAATTGATATTTATTTTAATATTAATGATAAGTAGATAAATTTAATTAATTAATTAATTGATTAAATTAAAATTAATATTTATATTTTAAATATAAATTAATTATAATTAGATTGATATTTTTTTTTCTATCACATTATAAATTACTCTATCGAAAAAAAATAACATACAAATAAATTTAGTAACTATATATATATTTACTAAAAAGCTGTTTCAAATTAATTATTTTCTTAATTTCAAGTTAAATAAATATCTTAGGGGGGCGTGGCCCTCCTCCACTCTTGAGTATAGGGTATGGGTTGAAACGACTTGTGTAAAGATAGTTATTAAGGTAACAACTTTTAAGATTTATAAGTTTTTAAAAGCTTAACTTTAAATTTAAATTGTTAATAATAATTGATTTATAATCGTATTTTTTTGTATTAATTTTTCAATATTCGATAATTACATTAGATCCGATTAATTTGAAATTGAGTATTTTATTAGGAGGAAACTCTTTCTGTGTCTATTTTTCTATTCACAAAACTTAAACTCGAAATTTTATTTAAAAAAAATCATATTTTTTTCACTCGGATCGATAGATAGTTGGTATCGCATTCTTCTTCTAATATGGAATTGAAGTGTCATAATCTCTTTCACTTAAGTATTTGATGTCTTCCTCAAATCCACTCAAATCCAATCCAATAGGTCCACAATTATAGGAACCACCCTTAAGCGATGAGACAACATGAGATTCTGGAGGCCAAAACACAATTATGCCACAACCGTCCAGATAGAGTAACACACACTGCCCATACAGAAAATTTTAATTAATAATTATACATATTATTATTTGTAATTATTCAAAATCACTTATAAAATGACAGGGATCTTACAATCCACCAAAGTAGGCGCTATTGACCATTCCTCTTTAGTCATATGCTTCATTGGAACTTCAAACTGGAGTTATGAGGTATGGTCAAGCGGAAAATTTAATGGGAACTTGTCTTGGTGAAAGGGGCAAGCGAATGTGCTCTCTCTCTTTTGCTTTTCACTACCCGTAACGGTGTCTCTAACTTTTTATCCCGTTCAACGACTAAGGAGTATGAACAAAGATGAGATTTTTTCTCTCTTCGAATTTCTTTCTTTGGAGTTTCTATCTTGACTATCGCAATGTATTTTCATTGTATTTGGTTTTAGGAGGAATGTAGGAAGAGAGATGGCTTCCTATATCTTTGTACTGGTATCTTGGTATACATTGTGTTCGAGGAACAGTATAATATTTAAAAATGAGAGGAATTTTGGACAATATGTGCTGGATGTAGTGTAGGGTAAATCATTTGTATGGATTAAGCACAAGGTGCAGGGATGTATCTTTTTATTTTATGATTGGCAATCAAAACTGGTTGAATGTGTATTAGCTATTAGATGGAATAAAAGTTGTTTAAAACAGTTTCATAAACAGCACAAGAAAGAGGGGTGAATACATACTTAGAAACAGGGGTCGATGTAGCGTTTGTTTTATGTTATGGTCTGATAATGGTTGAAGCTATTGGAATGTAGGCGTGGCAGGTACTGATTTATAATGTACAGTGTATTTAATTGTGGGCAAAATATCCTTTGTACTCTATTTATAATAATAAATTTTATTTTACTGATAAATAAAAAAAATTGTTGCTTGTGTTACTAGTCACTTAAAATTTGTGGTAGTTCGTAGTTGTCTGCAATTGCAAGTTATTATGTAGCAAATTCTGCAACAAGGTCGATTCCCCTAGTGCCAAAGGTACCGATCCCTTTTTTTACCATATCTATGATGTGGAAAATCATTTTTTGAGTTCTCTTGTTTTATTGAGAGCATGGCAGTTCTCAGTGTATCATTAAAATGGGAACATCATCGTCCGTTTAGGAGATAAGAAGTACTCAACATGAAAAAAAGTAGCATATTTAAAAAATATCTAGCATTAAGCAAAATACAAATACAAGTGAGCGGTAATTTCCCTTTGAAGTTCAAAGTTCTTATACAAGAAAACATGCATAATACTGACCAAAAAGGGAAAATTAACATGCATTAATCTTCATAAGCATAATCATTTAAACTATCCCCTTGAGATTTGAGATTAAGATTGAAAAACTTAGGCAAACACACAAGAAGGAAGACGAGGGTAGCAATAAGAATAGGTGAAATTGGTTGAAGCAGAGGAAAGGGAAATACAATTGGAAAAGGAGATAGGTACATCATTGTCAGCAAGTAGCAGAGAATGAATAACAGGACTGGTAATGTAAGCAGGTTTATTGTTTGACTAGGAAGTAGGAAAAACACTACGCATGTTGTTGTCAAGAAAGTTGCAGTGTTTATAATATAGAAGTATACAAAATTAGGTGTGGCCATGACTGAGAGCCCGACCTTATCACCATGGTTACTTTTAGTGAAAGGTGCACTTAGGGGAGTTGAGGGAAAGGATGCGGGCGCTGGGGGAGTTGAAGGAAAGGATGCAGGCGCTGGGGGAGTTAAAGGAAAGGACGCGCGCTGTGATGGGGGAGTTAAAGTAAAGGACGTGGCCGATGGAGTAGTTAAAGGAAAGTCACGGGGCGGTGGGGGAGTTAAAGGAAAGGACATACCTGGCGGAACAGGTGAGGGATTGGGCATTGGGTTACCAGAGACGTTGTCACCAAAGTTACCTTGCCAAACACCTCAGGTGGACTAAGACATGCTTATCGATTAGGAAAAATTGATTAAAACCAACATACAACTCTAAAAAAATCTTAAGAAACATGTAAAAGAAGAAGAACATAACATAACTGAGCTTAAGATTATGCGTATATTTTTTCCATTGATATTCCATATGTTTGTCACTAATTCAGGTACGTTTTTTTAACAAAACAACACTACCCACATTATAATGTTCACTTAACATAATTAAATAATAATATAAATCCTAAAAAACAATGACATGGTACGTGAATATAATTAAAACCATCATCTATTTTTAGGTGAGATATTTAATATCAAAGATACATAAAGATTATACTAAAAAATCAATAAAGAAACTTTTCCGCAACATAATTGAAATTGAACTAGATAAGAATAATGTATGTAACAGTAACTTTACTCTACTGTTCCATTTATCTTCAGCACATTCTCACAACCAAAGTCTTCCCAAAACAAATTCACTCAACAACCTTTAATAGAACAGACAATCTTACCTACCGGAAGCACAGTCACACAAAGAAGCAAGATGATCAAGAGAACATTCTTGATTGTCCCCAACCAAAATGTTGGACGCCTTCGATAGCAAAGATCCAAAATCTTAGGCCATGACACAAAAATGTAGCTGCCAACAGCACCGATAAGGAGTGCAATAGAATCAAACTCGAATGGAGATACAAGAAGGACTGAGTTGACGTAGCAGAGAATTAATAATAGTAAAGGTACCGTGAGCGGTGTTATGGCTTCGTCAGGAAGGAGGAAAAACACCATGCAAGTTGATGTCAAAAAGGTTGCAGTGTTCATTGCAAAGGTAAAACCAAAGTTTGTGGGAAGCATGGTTGACAAACCTACTCTACTGTTAGGGGACATCGTGCTATTCATATTACCGTCTCCCTGCCCAAGCCCTCCTGGTGGACTAAGGCAAGCTTGGAAGCTGGCTGTTAAGATCAATGCAGCTACTACCAGCATAGCATCGCGCATGCCATTTGATATCTTGTTATTTTGACGAGCCAGAAACTTTTGCAATTTTTCCGCACAACTGCTTTCTTTTCTCAATGAGTCTGCTAAGCTCCGACATGCAAACTTGGTGTTAGCTTTGAAACATCGACCAGGCTGACGTAGAGCGCTTTCAGTTTCTCTGGTGTCATCTTGGCCCTCTAACATTTCCAGAGGTGTCTGACCATTCATATTGATCTTGTTCTTCATCACCGTTTTACATTTTACTAACAATTTTACCATCTGCTTAGCCAAAAAATATATATACATATATATCATTATTTAATTACCATGCAACCATTCAAATTAATCTAGGTGACCAAAATCTGTTGATATTTGGTCAAGTTAATTAAAGTTAATAAGATAATATGTATTATCCTATTGCCTTTTCTTTCGAATATATATATAGGAAAATGATGTGTGCATACTCGGATGTG